TTAAATACCTGGGATATTATCCCAAGAGAAATAGAAACTCCTTAAAACTTGACCTGCATTGAAAAACAACGTGGGTACCTTCAGAAAACTTCCCAGAAGTTGCTGCAGTCTCTCTTTGCTTGGGCTCTGATGAGAAAAAAAATAGCAAAAATAAATAATATGACACATTTCATGTCTTTGGTTATAGGGAAAAGTGAATTAAATGATGATCGATTCTAAATGTCACTAGGCACACATTGTGACTCCTTTGGAATGTGTACCACTTAACCCATCTCAAGTGATTTTTGTAACTGTGACTCAGCAACTCCAGGCTCATCTTCCGCTTTTCTAATGAGTATCACAGGCTTCCTTTCTTCTCCCCACCCCCACCCAGACATCCAGAATACCTGTTTTCCCCACCCAAGACGGTGACATTCCCATCCCTGACCCAATTTTCAAACGGATCTTCTAAGGACCTGGGTGTTTTGCTCTCCAGCTGTAGGATGCTGCACTCTCCTCTTTTCTTTTGTCAATCAATGCAGTTATTTTAGTTCACTTTACTGAGCTCTGTACTAAATGCAATGACTTAATTACTTAATTAAAATTCATTGAAAATTACTATTAAGATGATTAAACTGTAGAATATTTTCATCACCCCCAAATCTCTCTTTTGCCCTATATAGTCCCTAAAACAAAAAGGGATAATAGAACACCATGTCTCAGAATGCTTCTTTGTGTTCCCCCAAATCTGGCTTAATTCAGGGAGCAATGAGGGCCAGCCTGGGCTAAAATGTCCAGATACCTGTTGTCTGGAAGGACTCTGGCTTTCTCATGTATACCCTGGGAACTAAGGTAAGTCAGTGTTACCTGTGAAAACTTCTTTCTTGCATGCACACTGGACAGCTACCTCTTGGGATACTGGTCATACAAGCAAACTAAGCCAGCTTTAGTATGAGAAAATTGTGTTTATTTGTATTCTTCTAAACATGCATTTTGTAGAAGACTTTTAGCTATTGCTACCAAGTCAGATGTTAAAGATTAAGGGAGAAGTGACTGCAGAAAGAAGTGGCAATTTTAGTGTCATGAGAAATTTTCACTGATTACTGAAAATATGACTTAAGCTATAAACACTTTTCTCATGATAAAATAGGAACATAGAGATGGATTGATGGGGTATCTGGTCTTGTCGGTTGCCTATAAGATATTTGAAAAGACATTTAATAAGACAGACATCCAACTATGTAGGCACAATTGACACTCGGTACAGCTTTTTGGACTCCTAAGCTAAAAATCCACTTAAACAGAAGCCACAAAAGACCACCACGTTATTAATGGAATCTGTATTTTTTAGGAGAAGTTAAAAAGTAGAAGAGCTTCATGCATTCAGAGAGCTAACTCTAGAATAAATGTTTCCTCAGGTCCCCCAAATTTCCCCCCAAAATACCCACCATGACTGTTTTCTCCTCAGTTATATATACCATAAGGTTTTTATCTGACACAGGAATTCAGTGGTGGGAAGGTTAATGAATGCAGAACTTCAGCAATGACAGGCAAAATCGACTAGCGGGGATGGCATTTAAGGTGTAGGTTTTACTCCGTCATCATACCACTCCACAGGGCACGCCAATTAGGAACCCTTGCTCAGACATTGTTTATCGGGAAAAATTAGTAGATGAACTTTTGTGGTCTCTCACTTTTTAAAAGTACTTAGGACACAAACTATATTAGCACCACAATCTGCCTTCAGTAGTACACCTAAAATGTTTTCAGGATGAGAGGCATGGGCATTGCATTTAGTTGGAAAAATAATCCTCTTTGCAAATGTGAATCTGTATTATTACTAACACTGTAAGTCAGAGATTAGGTTTTTAATGATATTAACAGTAGTCTGATAAACATTTAGAAGCCTGGCATTGAGAAACAAAAGCTTATACCCAACTAATATTTTAATTAAAAAATAATCAGTGTCTATTAGCTTTTTAAAATTCCTTTACATTTATTTATCCATATAATGTTTATTTATTTCATGCCTTTCATCTCGATGAAAATTGTGTGCAGGCTCTTTGATTTGGATTAGATGTGTGAAGTACTGCTCTTGCCAAAAACCTCAAATTACTTCCTCAACCTGCAAAGTAGTGGGTTTGTGCTTATTTGGAGATCAGTTTTAAAACTATCTGTACTGCCTTGGATGTCAAAATTTTATGTATAGCATAAAGAAGCTAGCTCTGATTATATTTTCCTAAGAATAACAAAAAGAAGAAAAATTCTTAGAAACAAATGTTAACAGAAATAAAACATTGCTGAGAGCCATAGCTGAGTCTGAATGATGCATGGCATTTTTGCCAGAACCGAGTGGATAATGGTTATGTTAAGCTGTGTATATTAGACCCCTGCTGTCCGCCTCTGGCTGCTACTTTGGAGTTCTCTCAGGGATTCCCGGGGAGTTCCCATTGGTTGGGGAAGTGCCGGAGGAGGGATTTCCGGTTGGTGTGTGGTGTGTCCCCAGAGAAGGCCGGGTGTGTGGCGTTCGCGGGAGTTTGAAGAATAAAGGAGTTCTTGTTTTGAATCTACAAGTCTGTGTGGCGGCTCAGTTATTTTGTGCCCAGCCAGACTGTGGCAAAACATGAAATTCTCTGGAGCAGTATGAAGACAGTTCTAAGAGGAAAGTTTATAGCATTGAGTGCCCACATTTTTAAAAATACCAAATAAATAATCTAATGCTATACCTGAAGGCATTAGAAAATGAAGAATTCCAGGACATAATTAATATCAGAGATGAAATTGAGAATAAAAAGTTACAAAGGATCAATTTAACAAAGATTTGGTTCTTCAAAAAGATAAGATTGGTAACCCTTAGCCAAACTAACTACAAGAAAGAAAGGATTCACATCAATAAAATTAGAGACGAAATAAGAGATATCACCACAAACACTCCTTTTTAAAAGATTTTTAGTTGTAGATGAACACAGTACCTTTTTTTTAATGTGGAGCTGAGGATCAAACCCAGTGCCTCACACGTGCTAGGCAAGCGCTCTACCACTGAGCCACAACCCCAGCCCCATCATTACAGTAATTTCTGAAGCATCATTAGAAACTATTTTGAAGATTTATGCTCCAATAAATTGGAGAAAATCCAGAAAACATTGACAAATTTCTAGACACATAGGACCTGCTCAAATTGAACCAGAAATATATGGAAAATATATTATATAGACCAATATCAAGATTAAAGTAGCAACTAAAAGCCTTCCAACAAAGGAAATCCCAGGACCAGATGGATTCTCAGCCAAGTTCTACCAGGACTTTGAGAACTCAAACAAGCCTTCCTCAAATTATTTAATAAAATATGGAGGGAGTGACAGGTCAAGACTCAGACCTGTCCTCAAAGAATTGTAATAGACAAGTTTTTGTGATTCAAAAATAAATTTATTCTACCCTGTGAAGTTAAAAACATAACTGATCTTTCTCATTCAATCTCGATTCCCATTTTGGACACTTGGGACCACAAGAAAAGACTCACATTTTTTAACTGCTCCGGTCAATGTAAGGGAGACTCTATTGAGGTCCCAAGGCCATACATGGCTTGGGGAGGAGGCCACCCTTTGGGAAAAGGAGCCAGCGGAAGGGTTTTATTGACCTCTTGGGGCGGAGGTGGCTGTGTGGCCACACTTCTTCTTGTGGCCCTTGACAGTCCTTGGGGGCCCAGGCGGGCGTAACTCTTGCGACAGATCCTCTCACCCAGTTGTACTCTGGGCAGGTTGGCCCAGGGAAGGCGCCATGCTGCCACCTGGCAGGTGAAGCACCAAGTGCAGGGGACTCTGTCTTGATGGCTTGATCTGAGGCGCCGCCATCCTCCCGCATCTGCCTGCAGATACAGATGCAGCTGGTCAGCTGGGGTGTTCTGCTGGTCTTGAATTTGGGCTCTGACATTCTCCGTGGTGTCATTGGGCTCAAGCTCTAGGTGACAGTCTTACCCATCGGGGTCTTCACAAGGATCTGCATCTCTGCGTCTGCGGCTGGGGAAGCTCCTTGGAGAGAAAGGGCGGCAGAAGCAGCCACGTTCCCCGTTTCATGAGCTGACTTGACGAGGAGGCCAAACCCTTAGTGCACTGTCTGCATGGTGACAGGAACTTGCAGATCCCAAACAAACCATGGAGACACCAATGTTTTTCAAATGTAGGGCCCGAACACTCTAGAAAGTAATTTCAGAGGTGAACAACAAGGGTAGGAGCCTGAATGCTTTTGTGTTGGTGGAGTAAGAATGTGGCATACATGGCCAAGCCTGGTGGCACGTGCCTGTAATCCAAGGAACTGGGGAGGCGGAGGCAGAGGATTGCAAGTTCAAAGCCATCCTCAGCAACTTAGTGAGGCCCTGCCTCAAAATGAAATAAAAAGGACTGGGGATGTAACTCAGTGGAGAAGTGTCTCTGGATTCAATCCCCAGTACCAGAAGGAGGGGAAGAAGGGAGGGAGTGGGGTAGGGGAGAGAAGGAGAAGGTGGTGGCACACATGAGAGGCTGACAGTTTGATTCCGTGCAATCTGTGTTCTAAAGACTGCTGTAATTTTATGCAGGAAATTCACCAATTCCTAAAAGCTCTTTATCTGCAATAGTATCGCTTAGAAAAATTGAGTTAGAAAATAAACAGTAATAAATCTTTTACATCTTATTTTCTACTTCTGTGGAAGTCACTTTGTTGCTGGAGCAAATATGGTGGTGGTGGTGGTGGTGGTGGTGGTAAAATAAATAGTGATGATTAGCTGCTGCTAATAAACTCCCACTTATTGAGTTCTAACTGGGTGTCAGGCATTGTCCCAACCAAGCGACGTGCACAGATTCAATTTCATGCCAAAGACTAGTTCCTGATACCAACACCCATTTCCCCACTTTACAGTAAAGAGATGGAAATTCTCAAGAGTTAAATAATTTGTCCCTCAAAACAGTCAAGCAGGAATTAAAGGTCATAACATGAATTTGAATATGGAAATCATCTTTAAAAAGAAAGAGAACACTTATCCTGTCGCCAATAATAAAGTTGCTTTATTCAGAAAGTGGAAGAAGAGTTACAGTTGCCCACATGCTAGAAGTTCCTGCCCAGGTGACAGACGGGGAAGACACGCTCTGATGGCACCGAGCGGGAGCACGGCTGCTCCTCCTTCTGCAGGGCTGGATGCTGGCACAGCCGGCCACGGTCGTCTCTCGGTTACTCTTGGGACATATCAGTCTAAGAGGATGCTCCTCACTGTCAGCAGTGATCACAGGCAGACGTAGGCTGAAGGACAGAGAAGAAGGTTCTGTGTGCTTGATGAGCTTTGGAGATGAAGATGAAGACGTTGCTGTGGAATTAGAGCAGCTAACTTTCCTCGTCTCGTCATGGTCTCAGTGAGTCTTGGAGCTGTTACTTGCTCTTGGGTGGGCACTTCTGCTGGCAGGGTGGAGGAGGCTGCACAGGAGGGCATTTCTGCTGATACTGTCTAGGTGGGCATGGCTCCGGACACTTGGGGGGTGGGCATGGCTCAGAACACTTGGGGGGTGGGCACACTGGGGGAGGCTGGCAGGGCTGCTTGCACTGCTGCTGTTGATAAGACATCGTTCTGGAGTCTCAGAATCTGAAAAAAAAAAAATATGACAGTGTTCACAAAAAGAGATTCCTACGGAGAAACAAGGCAATGATTATGTAACATCGGGGACATTATTTTCCTCTCCCCGTGTATGACTTTGTGACTTCTCCCTTCTGTTTTAGTAATCTGTTTCAGACTTGGGGAAACCTCCTTTTATCTCATGCAATTTTTACTAAGAAAATATCTGTTTCAAAGAATTAAATAATGTCATTTGCATGAAAATAAAATCTTTAAGAAAGGCAGTCACAAGCAATCCCTATCATTAGCTCATATGAAGTCCCAGTAGGCCGGCTAGGATGCAGAGTACAGGGCCGTTCTGGAAGAATTCAAGGGTCTCACATCTGAATAGATCTTTAAAAGGAACACTAAAAAGATACGAAAAAGAGAAAAATTCTGTCCTTTTCTTCAATACAAATCTTTCCTCTCATCTTGCTTTTTTCTCTATGAATATCAAACTGTCTACAAAACAAAAACACATCAATACAGTAAATCATTATGCTCCAGGGGTAAATTTCATTAAATAACATCTGTCCCACAATTATAGTTTGGACCCACCAAACTCACCGTCTCCAGATTCAATTCAACACTTGAGACAAAGAGAGAGAAAAGTCAGAGAAACTCAAGAAAAGTCAGATGGACTCACCAGGTTCTCCAAAGTGGATCAGGACTCGAGTACCAGGAGTAGAGTATCCATCCATCAGAGCACCTCTTTATAAAGCCTGGGCTCCACCCAGGGGGAAGCTGAACTGCCTAAAACGGGGCTGGCCCAACAATTTCCTAACCAAAATGCAAATCCACCTGTAACTGGCTTGGCAGGGGCTCTGAAAACAAGTGGGAAAAATTCTGACCCAGGATTTCCTCATTGAGTTCAGTGCTCCTGATACAGAGGCCCTGCCTTAGCCGAGTTTCAGGAACTGGTGGAAGAAGTGGGAGGACTGGAGGATTCTCACTGGGGAGCAAAGTTCCTCTTTCTTGAATGAGGTCAATAATCCCTTCCTGTCATTAGCCTCCCCCAAATCTTTAAGCTACCTGACATAGTTGCTCCACATTAGCTGATCAAAATGTCGCAGAATTTTCCAGCTCCACTTTCTTCATACAATTTGCTCATGTGCCAAAAGGAAGGAGAGAACTGAAAATGACCTGCAGGCCGGTCCCATTCTCTCTTTGACAAGCCATAACAAGTCATGGTGACAACCATGGGCCCGTCACCTCTCCTCCCTGGGTTTGAGTTTTTCTCTCTGAAATAACAGCTGCCTCTCAATTAGGATCGTGACTGCACTGGACCATCTCTTGATCCCGTTCAAGCCTAAACCTTTTTCTTTCAATGGGTAGAACCCCAGATTTCAAAACATCTTGGCCTCTTCAAAGCTATCTTCTTTCCACTCAAGAAAAAAACACTTCTCTCCCAAGAGAGTTTGATTTCAGAGTGGAATCCAGACTCCTCGGTATTTTTCTCCCCTCAAAGGAGTGTCCTGGAGCACTTTTATTTCTAAAAATGTTTTCTTCATCACCACATTAAGGAAATGGAAGCAAGTGAAAGAAAACCACAAGCATTCATTCAGAATTTACCTACTGAACCACGCCTGTGTGGTCCCCTCGATGTTCCCTACAGAATAGGACAAGATGCGAGAACAACATCATGTAAGTAATTGAGTGAATCTGGAAAGAAGAAAGTCTGAAATCTGAGAGACAGTAGCACCCCTACATATTGGTTTTCTCTTTCTTTTCAAATGGTTCCCCTCCACACACATTTTTTTTTCAAACAGGTTTTAAGTCTTTGAAAGACAATAGATTTGTTTACACACCCACTGTCTCCTCCATAAGCTCTCCAGCACCCTCCACCTGCTACATAATCCTGCCACTACCCAGTGTCTCCCTCTTTTCTGTTCAATTTGGTGTATTCTGTTCACTTAAGGCATGTTACCAATGCATTTAGGGACTAGTCCTTTAATCTTTCTTTTAATTCTTCCTGCAATTGTAAGGCTAACTAAATATCACATACTAACATTTAAAGTGTTGTTGCTAGAGTTTCCTTGTGTTGGCCAAATAATGAGGAAACTTTCCAAGAATGCTGTTTTCTAATTGGAGAAAGAACAGAAGAATGAGGAACAGGAAAAACTCAACTTTGAAACAGTCACCAGCTGAGCTCCAGAAAGCACAGGAGCATTAATCAACCTGGAATCTCGTCCTCTCGGGTCAGCAGGTTAGTGAGGTTCCCAGAACTGTGGCTGCTTCCGACGGGAAGGAAGAGCTTGTGGCGATCACACGCTTTGACAGCTCAAAGACATGCCCGTGACACCTCAGACAGAGCATTGCTTCAGCACCTTGAGCCAGGGCGCCACTGAGGGCTCTTGAGGACCCTCACACTTGCCAAATGGAGAAAGGATCAAGTAAGGGACTCCACTCATCAGGTCAGGCACTGCCATACTTCACATCACAGCTCAAACAGAAATCTGAAAATGTCCAGCTTCCGCCATTCAAAATGTGAGCATTGGCTGACTCAGTGGGACAACAGTGTCAGATGACCCAGTGCAGGTTACACTGCAAGACTCTTCCTCCGAATACATCCCACTCCAAAAAACTGCTAATCCCCAGAAGATAGGCACCGAATCATGGCAGACCTGAGACAGGAAGCATAGCACACTTCACACACACTCACACACACACACACACACACACACACACACACACACACAGACACAATGTGTCTTACCTGTCTGCATCGCCAATGAACTTAGCTTTATGATATTTAAAATTCAGTAGCCCTGAATTCAATCCTAATACTGGCTAATTTTCTGAGGGTTTTTACTATAAACCATTACTATAACAGGAAAGAACAAAATTTTAAATTTTTTTTCTGATTCTTGACTTACTTTATCTCACGTTTTACTACTATTAAAGAAAATAATCCCTGAAAATCAAGATTCAACAATAAAATGTGAAAGAAAAAAATATAAGGAAATAGGAATTATGGCAAAAATATTTTTTTTTGAGAGAGTGAGAGAGAGAGGATTTTAACATTTATTTATTTTTTCTTAGTTCTCGGCGGACACAACATCTTCATTTGTATGTGGTGCTGAGGATTGAACCCAGGCCGCACGCATGCCAGGCAAGCGTGCTACCACTTGAGCCACATCCCCAGCCCGCAAAATATTTTTGTCATGTTCAGATAAATGGTAAGTAATGCAAGATCCCTTGATCACTGCTTTTGCTTTTATTCCTCAATGTAGAACTCACTCGCCATCGTTCTTTTATAATCTTGCTAAAACAGAAAAATTATAGGATCTATATATGGTGAAAACTTAAGACCATTAAAGAATGTTTTAGATGATTATTTAATATCAAAAATGTTCAAATTATAAATACTTAAGCATGATGGCATTTTGACTAACATACTCATTAAAAAGATGTGAAATAATGTAACAATTAGTTATTATATCTGGCTGGTATAATAACAGATGAATTCTGTTTTCTATTTTGCTTTTCAAAGTAGTTTCCACCTGATGACTGGTTCCAGTAAATGTGATATATATGCGCAATGGATTACCATTTGGCCATTAAAAAAGATAAAGTCCTATCACTTGTGACAATATGGATAGACCCAGGGGACATTGTGTTAAATAAGACATGTACAAAAAGACAAATACTACATGATTTCACTCATATTTGGAATCTAAAAAGTTGATCTCATAGAGATCAATGGTAGAGTGGTTTATCAGAGGCTGGGGAGAGCAGGGAGGTGGAAGAGATGGGGAAAGATGGGTCTTTGGAGACTAAGTGACAGGAGAAATAAATTACAGGAGAAACAAGGGTGGAGTAGAATAACAATGACGTGTTGTACATTTCAAAAAAAGCTAGAAAAGATTATGTTTTCACCATGAAGAAAGGAGACTCCAAGTTATGGATATGTTTACCCTGATTTCAACGCCACACAAGGTACGTGCACACTGAAACATCACATGGGACCTACCCCATAAAGATGTATGGTATAATGGGACGTCATTCAGTCCCCAAGAGGAAGGAAGTTCTGATGCATGCCACAACACAGAGGAATCTCACAAACATTATGTCCAGTGAACAGTCAGTTACAAAAAGTTTGTATGATTCCATTTACATGAGATACCTGGGGTTTTTGAACAATTAAAATAAATAGTAATGGAAACAGGATGCCATGCAGGGGTTACCAGTGGCTGGAGGAGGAGGAGGAACGGGAAGTTACCATTTAACAGGCAGAGTTTCTGTCTGGGGTGATAGGAAAAGGTTCCAGAAATGGACAGCCGCGATTGCTACATGGCACTGCAAATGCGTGCACTTAATGCTACTGGATTGTTTTACAAATGATTTTTAAATGAAAAATTGTGTTATTTTTCCATGATGAAAAAAGATTTTAAAAACTTAATACAAAAGGATTAAGAATTTTCCATTAATGGCTTTTACTTATGGAGAGATTAGTATACTTGCTCAGAATATTAAAATTTATTACAAAAACTATCCTCTAGTAGCAATAGGAATATTGTTTCTATGTTTCAGAAATTGAAAAAAGTAGTTTAAAATGTCTCATCAGGAGAACATGTTAGGCCCCCAAAAATTTCAATGAGTAGCTTTTCTGCTGATAAACTCCTGCTCAACAAATAAGAAAAACATTGTGAAAAAATTTTAAGTAAAAAGCATAAGAATTTTTTTCACAGATAAACAAATAATGGGATACTCAAACAAAATAATTTATACAATATGAATCAAGAGCATGATGAGATTTATTTTTACCAATTAAATAAATATAAAAAAGTTAAATTCAGTCATGTCAAATATTTAAGAGAATGCATTAGTGGGATATTTTTGGATTGCTCATGGAGTGTGAAATAGTCCAGCCACTTGGGAAAGAAATAATGACTCATAAATTTAGCAAACACATTAATATTAATTATAACTCAAAATTTGACTCCTCAGTATATTTAAAGGAAAAAATATTTGCCTATGTGGAAATATTTCATGTCATCATGATTGTAAGAGACAAACCAGAAGCAACTTAAGTTCTGTTGAGAAGAGTATAATGTGCTATAGTCATGTGATGGAAATCATTTACAATTAAAAAAAAAGATAATCTATAGTACAGTTACAGGCAATAATATGAACAGATCTTTGGAAAATAATATCAGTGAAAAAAGCATGTCCCAGAAAGCTACATGTAATTAAAGTCTTTCTTTCCCAAAGTTTTTGAACAATTAAAATAAATAGTAAAATAAAGTTAATAAAACAAGGAAATGAAAATCTATGAGATAAACACAAATTTCAGGAAGATAAGAGAAGGGGGATTAGATAAGCTGCTGCTACTTAGGTAGACCCAATTTGTCAATTCTAGTTCTCAATGGTCATATAAAATTCAAAATATTATTTTAAAAATAATATGGCTCAGCGTTGTATGGACCGGCAGTTACAGAATATCTTGAGCCAAGGATTAATATCTGTACAATTCAGAACTGAAGTTCATTTAGGGGAGAAATTAATGGTTCAGCTGCATCCATTGACCCCCATTGAATCCTCTTCTCCCTTGTTTTCATATCTGCCATGACTCAGAGCAAGATCCCACACTAAACCCCTATAAGTCTTAAAGTAGAGGTGGAAACTGAGTTGGCAGAGTTCTTGCCTAGCAGGCATGAGAAACTGGGTCTGATCCCCCAACCTGGGAAAAAAATAGAAGGGAGAGAAAACAAGATGAGAAAGGTAACCAAGACTAAGAATGTTCCCTACTTTTTATATTTGGCCTTTTTAAATTAACATTCTTGCTACAGCAAAAAATGTTAGCAACAGCTGTGATAGCAACAGAA